CAGACACTATGGATGGATGGATGGATGGATGGATGGATGGATGGATGGATGGATGGATGGATGGATGGATGGATGGATGGATGGATGATGGATGGAATTATATATTCTGAAAAAAACACGTTTCCTGATTAAAATATGTTTAAAATTGTATTCTTTGACAAAGAACAAGACTAGTATGAATCCTGGAGTTAATCTCTGTTTAGCAATTTTCTTGTCACCTCCCGTCTCGTTTTATTAGAGGGGGAAAAAAACCTACTGAATTTCTACTTCTCACTCTTGTTGTTCTACGAAAGAATTGCATAAGTTACTCTTTCTTTCAGGCCCGTGAATGATTATTTCACGGGGAAATTATGCATAGGAAAATAACCAGAAAGAATCCTCTGGGATAGCAACGCTCGTGGTCAGCTTTTTCCAAATGTTCCTGCCACAATTTTTTTTTTTAAAGTGCAGTCATCAGCGTTTCTGGGTTTAGTCCCCCCCCCCAATAGAAACCCTTCATAACCACGTTTTACCATCATTTTCACGTTGACGTCAGCGCCGTCCTGACAGTGACACAGTGGGCTAACCAAAAGCAAGCTGCCTTTTTTTTTCCTCCCCTGTATACAAAAAAATAATAATTGAAAAATCATGTGTTCATGATTAATGAATCACGTCCCCTAGAAAAAAAACTACCATATTTTGCAGACTATAAGACGCACCGGTGTATAAGACGCACCAAGATTTCGAAGAGGTACGGAAGGTAAAAAACTTTTTTGTCGTCCCCCCCCCCGGCCCCCAGGTTTCAGCAGGGCTGGGGGAAGGCAAAAATGCTACCGTTTCTTGCGGGAAATGGGCCATTTTTCACAAAAACTGAGGTGTTCTTGCCTTCCCCTAATCCTGCTGAAGCCTGCAGAGCGCTGCGGGAGGCTGGGGGAAGGCAAAAATGTCTCCGTTTTTCTCCTGTTTTTCGCAAAAATGGGACCAGGGCTTCGGGAGACCAGAAATGGCTGTATTCGATGTATAAGACACACCAACATTTCAACACTCTTTTGGGGGGGGGGNATCTGTCTCCGTACGGATCGTTTTCTCAGCAGTCCAGCTCTCGTTTCAGGTTTCCCACAAGCAAAAGTTGCAATTATTCCCCTCCCCTAAAAAAGTATGGTTATAGTTATAGTTTTCTTGGTGCGTTCGAGATGACCTAGATGGTATTGTGTCTACAGTGGGACTAGAACTCCCCGTCGCCTGGTGATTGGCTCAAAGTCATCCGGCTGTCCTTTATGCCTCAGGCGGAACTAGAATTCACTGTCGCCTGGTGATTGGCCCAGAGTCACCCAGACGGCTTTCGTGTCTAAATGGGATTAGAA